AAAAAAAACAATGTTTCTCTTTCAAAGTTACTTCTTTTTACCAAAAAAGTCTTTAATGGACAACTGGTTTTTCGAAACTTTACGTTTTAGGCCAAACAGAGCCCTTTCCACGTTCAAAATGCTTTCTTCGTCACGTTCACTAATATTATGCGCATAAAAGAACGACTTCACTTTTGCCAATGCAGCGTGTGCTTCGGCAAAACTCGGCAAAGCTTCGGGCTCGCATTCGTCGTCTTCCTCTTCCTCACCGCTCCAACCCCCTTTGCGGACAATAACAGGAAGAATGGAAGTACTATTACTGCCGAACTCAACGAAACGTAGCTGTAGAAGACACGAGATGAACCAGAGAATGAAAAAGTTTCGCTCGCCTTTCCTTTGTACTTATAATAAAAGCATTTGTGAAGAAATTCACACTGCACATGCCATCTGGCATCGCTGGAACGAAATATGAGTGCACCCAAATTAAAATCGTAAAATTTCTGACAATGGGCACCGCCATTCACTCCAACTATCACCCCTGCACCGCTGACCCCTCATTCCAAAAGAATCTGTGCTGGTTGGGCGACATAACAGGTTACCGCTACTGTTTATTCCAAAAACATTGTGCGTCTTTCGGTATTAATTTATCTCTAAACCCAGCATTTTAAATTCTCAGGAACGATCATTGCGGGAAAATTGTGGGCCGGGACTACGATTTTTGAACGATCGATGCGATAAAACGATAGTTCGAGGAACGATAGAAGCGGGAAAATGTAACATTATTTTATATGGGATGTATTCGGGACCGAACAAAACGGACGATGCATCCGGGAAAACGATAGTTCCGGGAACGATGGATAGAGGTTTCACTGTATACAGTTTCCTTCTTCAAGGGTGAATAGAGACAGTATATTTTTGCAAAATGTTGGTATCTACCAATGAGTCCACGGCATTGCAACCCATAAATATCAACAATGTAAACTGTTGCATCAATGAGGGTTCTGTGAAACTGTTATTTCCAGATTGAATGAATAAAATCTTCTTGGTCAATTAGCCATGTCAGTAGGTTACATGAAGTGACCAATGTTTTGTGAACCATTTCTTTCCCCCATGCAACTGGTTGCCTGAGAAGATTTTTATTGAGTTTAGTCACTATGAAAGCTTTAAATCAGAGAGAATATGGTTTTTTGTTGACAGTCTCATTCTGGTATCCTGGGAGGTGGTCATTATGTAAGCTATGCCTGTAACCCAAATGGAAAATGGTACTGCTATAATGACAGCAGCTGCAAGGTGAGTTGTCTAATTCCTAAGTTAGAAGGTCAGCATTCTCTCATTGTAATAAAGTGGTTGTTAGTGGTTCAGTATTGAATTACCATGATAATGCACACACCAGTTTCACTGCGGAGAATAACAGTAAAAGAGAATTGGTACTTTTTTACTCTGAATTAAAGTAATTTATATATGTAGGATTTGAGGTTTTCACAGCTGTGAGTCTGAAGATTGCTGTCTTCTGGCTTGTGCTGTGTAGTCTGGTAGATGTCCACTGTTTCATCGCCCTGATGACGGAGGCAGCATGACTTTTGAAACGGTGGACATAAACTAGACTACACAGCGCAACAACCCAGAAGACAGCAATCTTCTTAATTTATTTATATTTAGACTGCTACCATGAGTATAGCTGGTTTTGTACATACGTGCTTCAGATGTAGCACAGACAAATGATTCTGAGGTTCTGATACATTGTGTATTTCCAGTACACCTCAGATAATGGGCAGTCTCCAACATAAATGTGATAAAGAATCAGCCAAGAGCTCAAAAGTCAGTATGGCTCACATAATGAACTTTGCACTTCCCATGTCTCATCTGAACTGTGAAATTTTACTTGTTTGTTTTGTAGGAAGTGAGTGAGAATCAGATGGATACTAGTTCTGCATACATGTTGTTCTATGAACGAGAAGGTTTATGTCAGCTGCAGTACATGCCCAGTGTTGCTGGTAAGACACCCGACACACGAGACCTTGATGATGACTTTGACTCGGACCTGAAGAAACTGTGCTGCATGATGTGAAGAGATATGTCTGGTGGTTGATTACAGTGAGCCTTCATAATTTATTCAAAGGTATGATGAAACTGTTTTCCACTTTTGCTCATTCTGTTCATTGTTCATTCCTATCTATTCATCAGAGAGGCAGGAAATTGTGTATGTTTAGTTTAAACAAATTATGGCATTCATTTAAAACTATCACTGAAAAGAGGCCACATCCTGCACCTTCAGGCATGTACAACAGTTCTGACTTGGCTCTTTTCACCTGTTTGGATGATTTGTTTTTCATACTATACATGTGGTCACAGAAAGCAGCTCCCTCCTACAAAAAAAAAAACATATTGACCCCTATATAAAATACAGGTATATGAAGTTCATCTTCATATTCTGCAGTACATAGTTTTTCTAAATGCAATATTATTCATATGATTTGTTTTGAGGAATTTGTTACATAGCTAACACATGCAAAGTACATGTATATTATTAAAGATGTTACTTCATTGCATTTTATATATACAAAATTGTTTTCTGAATTTCACATTTTATTTTTTTTTCATAACAAAATGTTGAATATTTTGTTTTTATAAATAAAAGTACCCACAAGATCAGATAAATATATACCATGAGGTGACAAGGAACAACAAATAGGGTATTACATACCAGTATGTGGAGACAGATTAAGCGTTTTAGTAATGTAGACTTTATATGGTACAGCACATACTACACTAATATCCATTGGAAAAACCTAGGGAAATTTTTAAATATCTGAGAATCATATTAGAATACAGTTTCAGAATTGCAGTTGGAAAGTGTAACATGTTCATCCACATGTGGTGTAATTTAGTTCTGTACTTGAAAGGCATACAGGAGATTAAAGCCTTCACATGTCAATGTTGCAGAATAATTTGAAAATTTCCATAATAAGAGCTTGAAGGTAAGCTATAAGAATTTGGAATTTTCTTTTCTACTGCAAGCAGCATAGTGTGAGATGATTTCTTCGGGGTTTAAACTGAATCTCTTATATTATGTACATAAGTAAACCTTTATGTCTTTGGGATCCTTGTTATGGCACCTTCTCAAACTTCCTTGTCTTCTCCAGAAATTAGTCATGTGTTAGTATTTTAATTAATATTGTTTATCTTTTTCGTTATTTTTTAACAGTTTGTTTCAGAACTGTTCTCCATATGTCTGCCCATACAGCAGTGTGTGTGTGTGTGTGTGTGTGTGTGTGTGTGCTCATGGCACAAAAAGTAATGTCTTTGAAAATTTTCTCTAGCATGTTAGTAATCAAGCTCAAGGTTTGTAACTGGCTGATGATGAGACCCTGTCAATTGTTAGGATTCTGCTAGTACTTTACTGATAACAAGTCTTGGAACTATGGTTAATTCTGCTTTTATACTGGCATGAAACTTCTTTCTGTATAATACATAGCATTGTGAATACAGGATTTCTATTAAACATTTCAAGGTTATAATGTGTTATATTTCTGTAACTGTAATGTAACATATTCAAACAAAACATCTGGAAAATTAGTCACTATTACTGGTAATACCACACACATTTTTACAACATTCAGTAATTGCTCATAGATCCCCTTGAAAATAATTAATCTACTGATTTCATTACTTACTGGCTCAATATTAATTTCATTTCATTTCATTCTGCAGATGATCACTACTGTCAGGATGTATGAACCAAACAGTAAAGGGGTGTTTATGTGCTAAATGTATATAAAATGTGGCTTGTTGAACAGACAGTATTCCAGCATTGCTGTGAACAGGGAGTCAGAGATTTAGAGGTTACTTGCTGTCACATGGAATTAATGTTTTCATTCTTGATCAATAGAAAGTAATGTTAAGGAGATCAGATTTTTATCCAGACAGTTACATAGAAGGTTTAGTTGATAACCAAGTAATTGGTGCCATTGTGCCACAACAGGGATGGCCAGTAAATGAACAGTGTAAGAGATCATAAGGGTCCACAGATGAAGTTCAGTGAGCCATTAATTGTGGTGAGTGCATGTTACATTTATTACAGAAGAGTAACTTAAAGTTGTAAACCCAAATGATGTGTGCAGATTACAACAAAAGAGATATTTTATTTTATGGCATTGTTACATCTATATTATAATATTACATGACTAATTATTTTAGAGTTATCTGACCTCACTACATGTTGTGTGAGGGGAAGAAACTTTAATGACAGCAGAGCACTTGCCAGTCTGAGGGAGTAGGGGCAATTGAAAAATTAAACTGTTTCCTTTAGGCCAATGAACTGGTGTTTAGAATATTAATATATTCTGCATCCTTTCAGCCTATGTCTGATTTGGTATCATCAAGTAATACAACTATATCATGGTTTGCAAACCATGGGCTCTCATTGGTAAATGAGTTGATTTCTGACATTCCAGCAGTCTAACAGTTTTATTATAAAAGACATTAGAACACAACAGAATTTTGATGAATAAATGTATGCATTAATTGGAAGAGGTGGTGTACAGTAAAGATTAAAACTTGGTTTTTGACACACCTATGGAATTGGATTGTTTCAAGTAACTGTGTTGGCTCTGCTTATTGAGAAAGAAACATGTTTAACTGGTGTTAAATCTGAACTGCACTGTTGCTATCTGTGCCAGGATCTAACATACAAAATAATATAAAATGCATAACTTCTGTTGGAGTTGGTTATTTTCTGCCATGTTGTGACTGCTATCTGCTTTGCTTCCAGGAACAAGGGTAAATAAATTATTAGCATTGGAAAGATAATACCCAGTCAATTATTTCAGTAGTGAGAAGTGAAGTTTTTTTCAAATAACTTGATATAAACAATTTAATTTGGTTAGTTAATTTAATAGTAACAAATTTAAATATGTTTCATATTATGTATCACCAGTGTGAATGTGAAGTGTATCATTCCTAAAAGTTCAAGAAATGATAACCAAGTTTAGAGCCACAAATCAGGTTTATTGGTTTAAAAAATGCAGACAATTTAGACATAAGGTAGAAGTGCTGCTTTTGTTATATTACATGTAATGTGAAATATAAAGAACAATCATACTTCTCTTGAAACTTATACTGATTTACCCTGGCACTTACGCTGTGTGATACAATGAAACACAAAATAAGTACCATGAGTGTTACTACAAAGTGTGATTTATTCTATATTTACATAAGCTCATTGTTAATTTTTTTTAAAATACCAAAGATATATCCATACTTAGTTTCAATTATTTCTGTATATAAATTGAAAATTTAGTGTCATTTTATATCATTATTATTACAAGGAAGTTACAGAAAAGTGTTTAATTATTTTGCATCCAAAAAGGTTTCTGTTATGATTCTGTCTGTTGCACAAGAATTACTGGCTTATTTTCTACATCTGTTTGCTAGTAGATTTTATTTAGCTGGTGACAGACACAAGTATATTTCACTGTTATGTACATGTTTATTACACTATATTTTTTACATATAGTCAGTATCATTTCAAATACTCACATTAAATAGTCCCAAATTAGATAACTATGTCACTATTACTGTGAGCACTCATCTTGTACTGTAATATGAAATTTCTATGTTGATTTAAAAATTTTAGAAATTTTTAATTGATAATTTTTTTCCATCATGCAGAAGATATCAAATTTTATTAGGATCGAATCACATGAATAATTTTGTGAATGTTGAAGTGTGTTACTCATTCGTCCAGGATATTGTTAATAATGTAATTGGGATGACCATAATTCTTAAGGATTTATTAGTGGGGCATTTGTATAACAGAATTGTCAGCAGAGCTTTACTAGTGATGAAAAAGATGCCTTATTTGTTTAGCCAATAGTTATCCAGTGTCCACATGAAAATAAATCATACAGATATATGATAGTATATTATGATGGGAGATAGGAGCAAAATTCTATTACATTCCTCTCTTTTTCTTGAGATTACATCATGTAAAGATGTTTCCTGATTCAGCTGAACTCATTGTAGTTGTTCACAGCTGTATTTAAATGTAGATGTATAAACACAAATTGAGTTAACAGTTGTTTGTAAGAAAGATTGCACCACAGTGATATTTAATAGTTAATGGCAATTGATTTATCCCCCCCACTTCCATCTTTCTTTTTCTGCATAGAATTGACAGGATCATAATTCTGCTTGTTGATATTACGTAAAGGAATTAAAATTTATATAGTTTCCTAACTTGAAAATAATTGTGATACAATAATTAGATGTTGCAGATATCTG